CCACGCCTATAAAAATTGTATAAAACTATTGAGGAGACGTACAAGGGAAGATGAATGCATATTTCTGATACATTTATATAAAAAAGATTATATATTATATTTCAAACACTTGTATGAATATATGGAAAGAATTAACATCAAATTTTTCAATTTTTCAAAATAATTAACAATAGATTAATATGAGATTTTCAGTTTTCCCAAATAATCCCAGTTTATATATTACTAAGATAATATCCTTATATACTACGAGCTTTTGGTTTTTCTATTCCTTTGCCGCTACACGAATATTCTATATAATCTTCGGTTTGGGCCAACAGTAGCGATTTAGCGATTTAGGTGGTGCTTGCAAATGTTCTTCAATGTTCTTCCCCGCCATACCTTTCCACAATATGTTCCTTCGTCTGAAAAAAAATAAAATATATTATTGCACGGTTGTAATTGAGATCTCTAAATACTTTACCTCATCGTTAATTTCATTCAACTCATCATCAGGTTCTCTTTTGCTGGGCAAAGAACTGGAGGAAATCAGATCATCCTCTAAAAAGTGATGTCGTTGTCTCGCCTTAGTTTGACTTTCTATTTTCACTAGAAATGTTTCGCTCAGCTGACGTTGAGCTTCTTCCACACTTTCTCATGAAAACTTTAAACCAACATCTATTGCAAATAACTGTAGATATTGGATCATCTTGAAGTGGCTACAAATTACTAAGTATTCCTGATTTCTGTTTGAGCGGAAATTTTCAAATAGTTTGTTTACCTCAAACCAGAAATGCTTTCCTACTATTGATGCCATATTAGATTTAGATTTACTGCCAGTCACGTCGAATATATTAATAAATTCTTCAATCTCTCTTGTACACAAGCGACAAATCATAATTACTCACATTTGTATGCATAAACATCAAAAAGTTAGAATGTTATAAACCTGGAGGAGTACGTAAGAATTTCTAAAGTATTTCAATAAATATTTTCTTCTTTTTAATCTGTCCGAGCTACTCATTGAAAACTGATAACATAGGGTTTTGAAATATTTCTTTTTTTTTTGACAATAAGATGTTAAATGAGAATACAATTATATATATTTATGTATACAATACTATTATACAATTATATGTATATATATAATATGTTATGAATACAATCGAGAATCGAATACTCCTAATTTTGTCTTGTGATTCCCAGCTGCCGTGACGATTATGTACTAATATCCGTTCGCACCCATCGATAACTTTGTGTTCATACCCACATATATCACAGGGTAAAATTAAATGAACAAAAATAAACCACTATTTAAGATATCTGATTAGGTTTTGCTAGGCTAAACAATTTTTGCAGTAGTAAAAGTTTGCTTGGAATGTAGCCATAGTGAGAGTTTATTCATACAGACTACTAGGCTACTTTCACCTCTCTATATCCTTCCCCTTCTTCACTTCTTCTTTCTGGCCATTCCCATCTTCGTGATGGCCAGAGTGATTGGCCATCAAAAAACAAGAATCTTCCTTTCCAATTGATGCAATATTTAAAAAAGTTCAATATTTTTATTACATATAAATCACTGCACTTGAATTATATGGCAAGCATATCTATATGTGCCTCCCGACCCTTCCGTGTGAATTGTGGCTCATAAGTGTCTAAAAATTTCTATATTCACAAGAGAAAGACTCTAATAGGTATTGCTTTTAGCAAGTTTTTCTTTTACTCCTTAAGGTTTTTTTCTATTTGAATCGAACAGGTTCGATACGATCCCTAAAGTTTTCCATTACCATAGGACCTTGGTTGCCACAGCGTAAACTCCAACAAAAAACTTTCTCATCAATTTTATGCAAAGGTTGCTGTGAAACGCAATCGGAAATCAGGCTACTTTGTTTTAAAAATTTGTTATTAATTATTACTTACCGCATTGGATGGGTTTAAGTTTAAATCGTGCGGCACTATGACTGTATACGGATGCTTAAATATGTTGTTATAACGCATTACACGATCTACCACTACACTAACTTCATGATGTATTTGACCGCAGGCTCCATTTAGCGATGTGGGAGCGTTTGCTGGTATCGTGGTTTGAAATGGAAATATATATTTACCGGGTGGTAATACCAACATTTGAGTTCCACCACTTTGTCCGTAGACATACCGTTCGTTACTGTAGTATATTTCAGAGGCGGAATAAGTTTCAATAGTCTTTTGACGTTCCCCATGAGTATCTTGCTTCGTAATATGCTCAGTCCAACGCACTTCAGCAAAACCGCTTACTGTTATAATAATACCTATGAGACATAAAGCGCGGATTAAATTCTATTAATAGAAATTCAAAATTATTTTTGGCCAACGGCTTTATTAGAGCATACGATTTAGTTGAATAATTATAGATAAGTCTCTTTACGAAAGATCATGTCTCTATTCAAGCACATAGTTTAGTCAACGACTGAATTTTGAATGCTTTAGGAATTCATTACGTTGTTACTATCAATTTGAATCGCAAACTTAATTTAATTGATTACAATGACTGTTAAATCTACAAAAGCAACAAACATAAAGAAAATAGTTGATATGACTAAGTTGAATAAATTATAAAAATATATGTATCACTATATCGCAAAAATATACCTTGCTCTGTAAAGCAAGAAATATACTCATTTCCCACAAATAGTTTAACAATTGTTCGTCGTTACTAGCATTTTTAAAATGTGCCTTCATGTCAAGCATATTGTGCCGTTTTGCTGCTTTTCAACGGTCAAGTGCTAAGCCTGAAACTGATTATAGACTTAAAGTTATTGAGCGACGAAAACGATTTCCGCGGCAAATGCAATAACGACCAACAGCATTCCCAACTAAATGAATTGTTATCTACCTCGTTTGTCGATGACATCCGTAGGTTATTGAAACGTGGGGTTACTCAACCTATATTGTCGCTGGATAAATTTTCTTCGCCATATGTAGCAATGCTTTTCGATACATATAACTTGTGCTCTGAAGTATGGAAAGATAAAGAGAATTTGTAGTTTATATACGTATATACATATATATACAGCAGAACTTCCCATTCCTAGCTGCAACAGCCTATCCTTGACAACTCTGACAACACGTGGCCAAAATGATATTTTCAGTCAATTCGTATGGTAACCATTTTAGCCGCTGTTGCAAAAAACATTAGCAGTAGCGGCTAAAACCTTTACCACGCGAATTGACTAAAAACGCCATTTTGATCATTTGTTGCAAGAGGTGTAACCTGGAGGTCCTTATCTTTATGAATCAGTGTTTCTATTGAATCTTTTTTAAACACTGGATGATTATCTGAATATCTGAATTCAATTAGTAACGTACTGCTGGAATGGTAACATACTGCCCCATATTTCCGAAGAAGCTAATTATAGGCATGATGGAATATGAGATGATGCTGCAGCCTTATCACAACAATAAATAGCGAGGATACGTGCTTTGAATGAAGCCTTGCTTGTCGAATAAGGCTGCGATTTTTTATCCTATCGTTGCCTCTAGAAAACAAGAAAATCGCTAGCGGGGGCTACTAGAGATTTTTAACAGCTATATATTTTTATATACTTTAAGTTTAATATATTCTCCTTTTTTAAGGGAGAACACAAAAAACTGGTTCTTTTCTTTTTGTTCCCTTTTTTCCTTCTTTTGTTTCCGTGTGGTAGTGAAAACAAAAGTGAACAACAAGAAAACGTATAATGTATGTACAGTAGACTTTCCTATAACACAATCAACCATTCCGTTATACCGTGTTGATGAGTTGCTTAGATTACACAAACACAGGAGCCGTTCACAGTCTAAAGCGATTTACTTACTTGTTGTATTTAAAATAACTTCGTTCAATAATCAGGATAAAGGCACTACATGATACATTTTTATGGCCGTTGCAAAAGAGCAAGAGAGAAAAATGGCCCAATCATATTTCCTATCGCATTCTTTTACCGTTCTACAAGAACGCCATTTAGTATTGTATGAGCGCAATCGTAATTTTTTTTGTAATGTTCTTGCAGTGTTATTCGAATTTGCCTTACACGAACAAGCGTTATGCAAGTTATGCTGTACTCTTTTTGCCCTACAGCAATTGTGGTACTAGGTATATTAGGTAGTGCGGACATATGTAATACGTAGAAGGGCTTAAGATAGACCTACCTTTTGTTACACCGATTGATTCAGAACCGTATTTTGAATTGACCAAAGCCTGCCTGATATCTATCCATGTAAATTTGGTTTCAAGCTACAGGTCGCAAATTTTTAAGTTATTTTTATGAAATTTCGTACAGTGACGGGTTTCGACCGAAGGACGAACACTAATGAAACCGCTTCGAATAGGCCCACTGATATATTTTTTGTGTTCTATAAGAAAAATAAGAATTGTGTTCGATAATATGGGGTAAGATATTTAAGTGTCGGGTGACTATAATATTCTTATTTCATAATAAATATGTATGTATCTTTAGGTATATTGAGCGATTGTTTGATTGTTAAAATAAACTTACGATAAACTTCGTAGGCACAGTATAGTGACGTAAACAACGCCACAAATGTCTTGTTTGTTTGTTAAAAGTTCTTTACACTATTTTTGTTTAGTAAATAATTAAAATTTATATAGTTTTTTGCGCACCTCTTACGGTTTTTGGTCGATTTGTTATCAATTCGACTGTACCGGAAACTTCTTGGCCAGCATAATAAACACCGAGTGGATTATTGTCAAAGAGAATTGTACACTTGCTGGACATTATGCTTGGCAATGGCAATTATGACTTCTCGGTATATGTGCAAATTTTTCTCATTCAACTTTCTTTGTTAAAATTTCACATATATATCCAATGCTCAAATTTTTCCTTTAAACGAAATATTATTTATGCGAAATTTGCGTGTTCTATAGCAACCGCAACATACAACTGATTACTTCTGAAGTTGATATTATGAATACTTTTCTCTGCTGATAATAGGTTGATTTGTGTAAATGTATACTGACAGTGCATATTTTTCTGACTCTTCTAGCTATATTACTATGTACTATGTACATGTACATTCATACATGAGATACTTTTAACCGAAATTAAAAAAGAAAAACTCAAATGCAGTCATATGAGAGTAATTTGCCGAGTAGGCAAGAGTCTCGACTAACAACTCAATGGTCGTGGGTTCAAATCTCAAGTGCGCTAGAGTTTTTAATAAAAGCCGAAAGCCTTAGATGCTAGTGCTTTAAGACTTTAGTCTTAGAATTTATTCTCTGGCTAAATTTATAATAATAATAATAATAATAAATCTGTTTTTCATTTGAATTCGCTATACCACCCATTGATTTGTAAACAATTGCAAAATTAAAGGTTTGCTTATAATCGGAGCTATAATTTTCTAAACTTGGAAATAAGCAATGGTGGTCGCTCATTTAGTTACTCTCTCAAGTTACCAAATTCGAAGTTCGCTCCATTTAGGTAAACTTACACCGTGTAGATCATTTGTGGTTGAATCCAAGAGAGCAACTATCTCTGTAGGAATCCGACCAAAAAGTATAGCGTGCAACCAAAATAATAAATGTTTAATGAGAGAAAGAAAAACACACAGAAGAGAGATAGACAAGGGAAGTGAACGGGAGAGAATTAAAAATTCTAAACAAAACATACAAAGCACAGAACACAAACAATCAAATAATTGCACAAAAATCCAATCCAAACGTCACGCACTGAATAAACAAAAAAGGAATTATAAGTTAAAAAAACTTTTAAGCAAAAGAAGAGACCAATATTTTCTTATCTAAGCAGCAGAAGAAGCAACAAAAATTCTTAAGCAAAGCTGAAAATAGAAACGCAGTCAAAAAGAGAATACTTACATCCTTCGACAATGTTTAGAAACTTCAAAATTGATGGAAACAGTTACTGCAAATCATAATAAATATATCAATAGCGACATATAGAGTTTTAGCACGCAACAGAATACGCCCATTTGTTTGTGAGTAGCCGGTGACTCCAGCCGTACAACGTATACAATTATTAAGAATTTTGCATGTATTGTGCCCCTTTGTGCCTTTGTGCAAAATGTGAAAAGTTCCCTACTGTGGATTGTTTAAAATTAGCAACAATAGCGAGCTATTCCCGTTTTTTTTTTACTTTCATATGGAGTTTGTAAGTTTGTATGTGTTTTATACATTTTATACATTTCATAAATATACCTTTTATATCGTTTAAATAGGATATAATAGGACGAGATGGATTCGGTTGCCTGAATCGCAAGATGAAGATTTGACTGAAACCGGCCTGGAGGAAGTGTTAAATTCACCGCCCATTGCAGAAGAGGCTGCAACTAGCACTGAAAACGTGAGATTTAATTTGAAAAGTCTTAGCAAAGATTTAGGAACGGCAAATGAGTTTCGCGATTTCTTTACGAACATTGATCAGTCTATGGTATGAAGTCTTATTTTTAAGAGGCAAATTGCTAATGCGACTACGTATCAGTCTGAATTGAAGGAGCTTCTAAAAACTGCCAAGCAAGAGAAACTTACAAAATTCTTCAAACCATTGCTTAAGTCTTAAGATAATTAATAAAAATGTTCAAAAACTTCCATTAAATTGATTTTTGTATATATTGGATTTTTTTTTATTTTGTCATCTAGGAACGTATCCCCTACAATCCCATATAAATTACCAGTATCATTACCGTATTCACGGCGGGAGTTTTGTGGAATGTAAACGCCGCGAATAAGGAGCTTTTACTATATTTCCTCATTCTTCGGTTATGATGTATGTTCAATGTATTTTTGTACATTTTATCAAAAGTTTATATCTTCTTATATGAATCTTGTCTTGTCAACAGTTTGTGCGGGAGGAGGGTGATCATCTGATAATCAGTAAAAATAAGACATGTGGGGACAAGCCAGATTGACTGCTTGGTGTCTACAGGTAGACATTTATATGGGCGGACATGTTACCGCTAAGGAAGCAAAACACACGCAGTACATGTATATAATATAATATATGTAAACTGAATGTATAGTAAATCTTCGCCGCTTCCAACCGGAGGTATAAAATAAAAGTTGGAAATGAAGGTTGAAAGTAAAAAAGAAACTATATATTTTTTTGCAAAGCATACCGAAAAAATGTTCTCTTAATTAATACAAAAAAAGTGAAGGCCAACTGATTATGGAAAGTCGATAACAGCTGGAGGCAATCACGCATCTGAAAATTGACTTCCGCACAAGACCAAACCGATAGATGATAAACGTTTTGGTCCGAACCCCCTAAGATTTTTGTATAATTCATAAGTAAATGAAAAAGTAGAAAAAAAAAATTTTTGTTTATATTTAATTGTAGCTGTCAAAATCCGAAAAATAATAGCTGGCTCTCTGATGACTAAGCAAACAAACCAACCATCAACAAATTTTTTTTTAACTTTAAGTATTTATTTATGCACTTAATATATGTATTGTAGTGACACCACTTACAAATTAAATGTTCTTTGGTTTATTGGATTATTTTAGATTCTTTATTCTTTAACTTTCGTTTAAAATACTTGCTTATATTGTTATGTATCTAATGTATGGTCAGTATCTTATGTAGGAAATAACTTAATGCTAACTTAAGCAATATAACTAAAGTAGGTTATCGCTTAGAATAATAACGTAAGCATATAACATTATATTAATAGCTTATTACTAGAATTACACTATCTTAACTAGGTTAGGTGTAAAATGTAAACTTAGCAATAACTTGTAAATTACGGTAGACTGCGACAAATCGATAATACTACACCTTTCCTCTTGGGAAGAATGATCTTTAATAATGAATGATCATTCTTGGGTTTATCAATTATCGATGTTATTGCCTCTACCGTAGTTTTATAGTGTACATATATTTTGTGTGAGGTTTTTATAAATATTTATGTATAAAATTTGTTTGCATTACAAAACAAATTTCTTTTATTTACATAGGGTTCTTATACATAATTATGCTTTTACAAAACAAAAATTTTGTTTCTGTAGGTTTCTTATACGTACTTATATATAAAAAAAAATTGTTTGTACAGTTTATATTATTATTTTGTGTGTGTAGGCGCCTTACACTTTAACTCATGAATCTGCGTGATATAATTTCAACCTATTTTTGTGTGTGATTTGAGTTTTATTTTTATTGTCTATTATTTTAATATTATTATTATCCTTAATTTCTATGACCTTATACGGTCCTAAATACTTATTCTGTAACTTATGCCCTACTTCATTTTTTAGGAGTACTAGGTTGCCTACTTCTAGTGGGAAATTGTTAGTTTTCCTGTCGTAATTTATTTTTTGTTTTTCTTTTTCCTTATCTAATAGTAACCTAGCGCGCGCATATGCTATATCTAATCTATATTTAGTCTCTTTAGCGTAGTCTTCTATCTTATAAAGTGGCTCAATGTTTTTCTTGTGATCTGTTAATTGGGTTGGTGGCCTTGCGAATACTAGTTCATAAGGACAGTAATTGTGTGTTGTGGAAGATGTTGTGTTAAAACAATATTGGAAATATTTTATCCAAATGTCCCAATCATTCAATTCAGGCGATATATATAAACGGATGTACTCATTCAACGTTCGGTGGTTGCGTTCCACCGTGCCACAGATCGTTCATTAGTGCATTCTTGTATTCGGTTCCTTGATCCGTTACAAGTGTTTTCATGGGCCCGTAGTTTAGTATGAAGTTCTCGAAGATTGCCTTTGCTACGATTTTAGCACTTTTATCTATGCCCGGAATTGTCACTAAATATTTGGTAAGGTCGCAAATTAGTGTTATCGCGTATTCATTACCTTTTTCTGTCCTTGGTAATGGGCACTTTGAATTTCGACACTTTTATTATACCGGCTTCTGTTTCAAGCCTTTGGAAAAACTGACCTAAGTCGAGTTTTCCATTGGTATAAATGTCGTTTACTACGAATTTGGCAATTATTTTCCTCCCATGTTTCATGCAACATTTATCGGAGTCAAATTTTAATTGCACAAATTTCTTTACGTCATTATTATTAATGACTTTATAGACTTTGGGCTCCGCATTCTTATGTTCGCTTACTTGTCGCTTTTCTGTGCAGTTATCTTTCTGCCGCGTTGCAGATCTTCTTGCTACCTTATATATTTTGTTGTTTATTTCCTTCAGATCTTTAATTGTTATGCGGGATAGGGCGTCCGCTACGTGATTATCTTTCCCATGATTCGTATGTTTCCTTTTTAGTTGTTTTTTTTTTTTTGTAGCACAAGGAATTTAATCTTTTGTGGAACAAAGAATTTAATCATCTTCAAATCTAAGTGAATAGACCCGAGCGATTTATATAGTTCCTGGATGATTGCCAGTTATTTTCAAATATTAAGACCATGCTTAGTTTGATGTATTGACCTTTGGATGCTGTGTCTACTTGAGTTGTCGTCTGTACCTTCTTTCCGAAACTTGTTCTTGGAAATCTACTGTCTCCATATCGTCTACTGATGGAAGAGGGTGGGCTTGTTCATAATATATCGGCGTGAAGGATGACTGCCCGTTGCCGGGTTCTGGGATATCGGTGTCTTGCGGGGGAGGGGTCATGTAGCTAGTGTGTGTTTTTTGGAGGGGTTGCTCTAGACAGTTGGTGTCTCATTGGCCTGCTTTGGATATTTTTTTTTTTTTTTAGCCCCCCCATAATAATGCAAAATTTGTAAAATAAGTAGAAAAGAATAGTTTTCTTTCGTCCTTTTTCTTAATACACGGGGATATTTAAAGTAATCTGCTTAATGTTTTCTCCTTTTTATTTTGTTATGTTGTAGTGTTTATATTAACGACGTTTCTATGTGTAAATTTTTATAAAACATAATCCTATTCTGACTCTTAAATGAGACCCTTTATATATGTATATATATAAAAAAAATTGTTTAAAAGCATGGTTTTACATTTAAATTGTTTTGGAATAATTAAAAAAAGTATTAAAAATGAACTTTAAATTTGTTTATAAAAAGTTATATATATGCACTGTTAACTTATTATCCTTAAATAATAGTTATATTATAATATAATTAATTGTAAGGTATCTGCATCTCTGCTATATTTGCTAGAGTATACTTGCGGTTGATGTATTGTTGATCTGGCAGCTTCTTCCAATTGTGGAGTGTCTTGACTTCTTGGATTTGAAGTTTCATTATTGATGTTACCGCTTTGTTGTTCATCTGTCGTGTTTTTAATTTCCTTTTGTTTGGCTGTGTCTATTTTTAGATTTCTCGTATTTGTTTAATATTTAATTGCATATTTATGCATTACCACACTGCACTTCTGGCCACTTTAGGTTTTTTTTTCAGTTGATGTGCAGTTGGAATTTACTGGCTTTCTTTTCCATGTAAGTGTTTCAAAAATGTATTTCACTTTTCCTTTTCAAAATCTGATATTATTGAGTTTAATATAGTTTTTTTTTCATTAATGTCTTGCAATCTTTATTCATCTATTTTTTCACAATATATATAGATTGTTTTTTTTTTTTTTTTAAATAGTTTCTTTTTATCCTTTCTTTTTTGTTTTTAAATTTCGTTTCCTTTGACAAGGAATCCACAAATATGTAAATTAATTTTTTTTTTTTTTAGAAATTTCACCATTTAAATTTTTTTTTCGTAATGACTTTTCTAGAATAACCTAGGATAATCTAAGACGCCAGTGAAAAAAAAAATTTTCACCGACGTCCTGTCACGGGCGCCATGTAGTGACACCACTTAGCAATTAAATGTTCTTTGGTTTATTGGATTATTTTAGATTCTTTATTCTTTAACTTTCGTTTAAAATACTTGCTTATATTATGATGTATCTAATGTATGGTCAGTATCTTATATAGGAAATAACTTAATGCTAACTTAAGCAATATAACTAAAGTAGGTTATCGCTTAGAATAATAACGTAAGCATATAACATTATATTAATAGCTTATTACTAGAATTACACTATCTTAACTAGGTTAGGTGTAAAATGTAAACTTAGCAATAACTTGTAAATTACGGTAGACTGCGACAAATCGATAATACTACAGTATACATTTATTTTAACCATGAACAACATCAAAAAAGTGTTGTCGTTATATTATTTCTTATTTGTTCCCCAACCAGAAAATCGATATACAAAAATATTCTCAGAAATGATTGTTAATATTACAATCATCGACATCCAATGGTTAGCTCTTACTCCACACGCTCATAAGAGATGGTTTCCCACTTTTTTGAAAAAAACGACATGTTTCGTATAAATCTATAAGTTTTGGAGATATGGACTTTAATTAAATGCTGATATAGGCCCCACATGATTAATTTTGAAAATCACTTGAAAATTTATTTTAATATCGAAAACAAAAATTAAGATTAACATTGATTTTTTTCCCTTCTTGTTGTTTTTAAGCTTCATTGAACAATAATATATTTTTTATTTCTTAGTTTTTCCTTTTTTAATTTTTTATTTCAAGCAATATTGCTTGGAATTTATTTTATTTTCTTTAAGTTCTTTCGCTTTCGTGTAATTTGACAATTGTCGGAGAGTGCATTTAACAACGGTTGTGTCTAAGTGACTTTAAAAAACCAATAGTCATCAACCAATGCATGTTTGTGATATTTAGGATAGTTTATTTGCAATCCTTGGGAGATCTATTTACAAATTGTTTACAGGAAATTCTGTTCTCGTTCTGGTCTTCTGCGTTCGAATATTGCAATTTAATTCTCTTGGCTCGGCTCTCTCGACTAACTTTCCACTCACTTGCCTTCGACTCACTCTTCGAACGACTTTGTCTTCCACAATATTCTGCTTACATACCCTTTGCAAAACAAAGTGACATAACCTAAATTCACCGCAACATTCGTCAACCCGTTAAACCGCTTATTTGCAAATTGCTATTAATCTTTTCTCTAATCATCGCACCATGAAATTGTGCTTGGTTTTCTCCTTTTTCAGAATTTTGTTTTTTAGAAACTCGACTAATAGTCATGGAAACTCAAATCATCAAATATGGCATTTTCGTAACAATAAGATGTCATTGTGTTCCTCAAAAAGTTGTATTCCAACTTTACCGACTTACTTAACTTACTTAAATATCAGAAATTTGGTTATTCATATTCTGACTTTTTAGAATGACAAAGTTTAATTTGTAGAATCCGAATGTACGATAGATATAATGAATTATTCCCAGATGCTTCCAAATTCAGAGTCGCAGCAACCATACCTCCTACTGAATTGTAAACAATTTCATATGTTTCTTTCCTACCTCCTTTTGAATTCGCATGTTTTTCGTGTATTTCTTCCATACCTCCTTTTGAATTATAAACAGTTTCGTATGTTTCTTTCCTACCTCCTTTTGAATTCATGTGTTTTTCGTGTATTTCTTCCATACCTCCTTTTGAATTATAAACAGTTTCGTATGTTTCTTTCCTACCTCCTTTTGAATTCATGTGTTTTTCGTATATTTCTTCCACACCTTCTTTTGAATTGTAAACAATTTCCTATGTTTCTTTCCTACCTCCTTCTGAATTCACATGTGTTTTGTATATTTCTTGATGCTCCCTGTGGACCCCATCTGTTCAGAAACCGAACGAGGCCATTAAGTGGGCATTTGTATGTGAAGACTCAACTATGTTTTTCATCTTGCGTGCAGCATAAGATCAAAAATATATATAATCCACTAAATCGACTGTGTTCTCGGTATTAAAAACGGTTATTGAGTTAGATAATTTTGCACAGTACACTTACCATTACGCTATGCGACTTTGTATTGTTTTCAACAAAACCTCTTTATAACTGTGCCTGATCTGGTACTACAATTCATATATAGCATTGTTTCTGAAATTTTTTTAAGCGAAAGTTATTTGCTTCCATTTTCAAAAATTTGATTAAAAGCCTTATCGGTTTTATTGTTATATAATGTTATGCGTGATTAATCGCCATAGCAATAAAATCTAAATAATTGTATATTAATTATTATGTAGTTCTCCAGATTTCAACGTAATTTTCATTGCTTTTATTAGGTAAGTTCAGCTAAGTATAAAAATTATAATACGCAATAGGTCATATTTTATTGCAAAACAATCAAAATTACATATTACTAGTAAATGGACAAGGAATACCAAATATATAATTAAGCGAACATAACCGAAACTTCCCCACAAGTGATTGGAAGGAGAACTGGCAACAAAAATTAAAGACTGCGAGTATGAATTTCTTGTTTTACTTAACGAATCATTGGGTAGGCTCCAATAATCACATGTACCTGGTCATAACGAGTTTGGGAAATTTGTTACGGCCAAACATGGACGCGTTTCTGCGAAGTACTTTGTTAAATTCTTTAGAGCACCTTTTCGTAAGCAATACTTAAACCTTTACAAATACTTGCTGAAATATGTAGACAATTTATTAACCCACAAATTGATAACTTCTTACACTTCCTCAAAACCGTTGACATTCCATTAACTAAACACCATGTATTTGAGTTACCAAGAGAATATTGAATAAATAGAAAAGGGTCGTTCACAAAAAAAAAATTAAAGGGCGGGCCTTGATGGCCCCCAAATATGACTAAAATATTCCAGTAATAAATTGCTCTCTTTCACGATTTTACTTTATTCATTCAACACGTTTTAAGATAAAGTTCCTACTGCTGAATGCTATCAGATACGCGATGCGACACCAATCGAAGAACGAAACTTTCAGGTACATGGTTAGCCCCTCAGCTTTTTTATTATTATGCATTTTAACAAATCTGTATAATTAGCCGGAAATATACGGTTTGGTATGAATACAAAATAGCCGTTGCTCAAGGAGCATATTAACAACAACTGCTAATGAAACTCAGCTTTCAAAAAGCTCCGGTATAATTTTTTTTAATTCTAGAAAAAACATTACATTAGTTAACATGCATTTTGCATATTATTTGCGGTTCATGTCCTTTTATCAAAATTTTATATGTCAAATTTTAAATTTCAGGAATACACTTCCTCACTCTTGAGCCAGACCGAAAAAATTATGAAAAAAGTCCAGCTTGGAAATGTTTGCAACAAAGAAGAAAAATCTATGCGACAAAAAATCTTAGAGAACTTATGGATCTTATATTACATAGAGCTATTCAAGTCAGTCCACCCCCGTTTGCAAGGCAAGGAGCTTCGTTTACTTAGCACCAATTTTGGGATCAATCACAGATTATACGGGGAAATTCGATTTTACCCGATTCGCATACCGATCCACCATTGTTTGAATTCTTTAATGAAACGAAAGACAAGTAAACGATCGCAATCGAGAACGTATTAGGGGCACACTTATGTTTGTGTGTTTATGTAATTGCCTCTAATAAAACCAAAAATATTGTAATCGCGCAAAGTCGACTTTAACTTCGACTTTATATGTATGTATGTGCAAACATACGTACAACGCCGGTGTTTTAAAAAGCAAAATGAGTTTGACCGGTGAGGATGTTTCGCAAAATTTTTTTTTTTTTATTTAATATTAAAATTATTGAGGATATATACGCTTAATCTCGCATCGATGTATTCATTAGAAAACTATGTTTAACTTGGTGGCTGCCTCAGATGCTCGGGAATTTCTTGGATTTCTGTTCTTGTAGCAAGTAGGGCAACGCCTTCAGGTAAATTGCGTTCGATATATTCTAAAAAAGTATCCAAAGTCGATTCGGTTAACTTATGAAAATTCATGTAACGAAAATAAGTGCGTATCTCATACTGGACACGATGTTTTTTATAAATATGCACACACTTCAATAACGTTAGACGTTCTTTAGAAGCTTTACGGGCGGAGTAGCTGAAAATATAACACCGGTTAATGTATATTCTTCTTTGTCACATATGCAACACGAAGAAATTCACTCTTTTTGCGCCAGCTTACCATTTTCCGACTTCTATATCTAAATGATTAGCAGCCGTTGTAGCAAACCAGGAATAGCTTTTTAGTACGGCTGGATCAACGCCTCTTATTTCAATTTCTAGTTTACTGTACAATTTATCTCGTTCCTCATTTAGCATAGGTGCAGTCTTACTATTTTTGCTAACAACATTTCCGCCAGTAGCCAGAGCTCGTAGACTACTGAAATCGCGATGTATACGAAGATTTCTTATTATCTGCAAGAATTTTTGGACAGGTTTGTGAAAGTTTCTAAATGGTCGTTTATTTCGTAAACTTACAGAACTTATCATTTTTAGTAAATTTATAAAAGAGAAATTGTAAACCAGACTATACAGTTAACATATGACTTCAATTTGGCTCTTAGTGATAGTTTACAAAAACAGACTTGTTTTCGAAGCTACAAATCTACAAAATTATATTAAAAATTTATGAAAAAAATATATCTTTCTTTAAGTTTTGCAGAATTAAAATTTCGAAGTAATATGGTATAAGATATAACATAAATTAGATTTGATTGAAAATTTAAATAAAATGCAAATTATACACCATTGAAAATAAGACATAAGTTGAAGAAGAATTTTATGCATATTCAACTTTCAATTTATATACAAAATTAAATAAAGCTACAGCTCTTTTCAGTAACGACTTCAGCGGCTAAAACGCTTCAAAACGCAATTAAATGTAAAAGTAAGCACTACTGCACATTTTAAACTAATGAATTTAATAACCATAGTTTTGAGCAGTACTTCGATTAAAGAAAAATAGAAAAGACTAAATTTCTTTTTTACTGCAGATAAGATGTCTAATTCAGAAACGCTCCACGTTGCTGATTGGTTGAAGCAAGATTCGGATGAAGAGGAAATGACGAACAATGAGCCTACCACATGTCTATTTTGCACGGAAACTTTTCCTTGCATTGAAAAAGCCTTAGAACATTTGAAAAAACATCATAAAGTGGACTTCTACTGTCTCAAAAAAAAATTTCGTATGGACCAGTATTCTTTCATTAAATTAATTAATTTTATACGCCGTGAAAATATTGAACCAGATAGACTACATGATGCGACCGAATCGTTTTGGGACTTGGAGATGTACTTGAAACCCAAAGAATACGAGTCATGGTTAACGTATGGTAAGTAGCGCAACTATACTTAAGTTCCTATATTCCTAAATATTACAATATTTGTAAGAAGGATGCTGATTTCTTAAATTTCATATGCGCATTAAGAGGCATTTGGTTAACTGAAGTCCACTTAATCTTGGAAGTCTAAAAAAGAAATATTTGTAGAACTAAGAAAACATTCATTTAGATTACGAGAATATGGAACCAGAAGGCCATTTTAAGGAAAATGATGAAGAAGAACAGTTATCACTTGAGGAAATTATTAAGAAGCAAAGGGATCGATTGGAGCAGGCGGCTGAACATCTTACAGTTATGAATGCAACCGTCACCCGTCTTTTAGACAAAGAAGACAGGGAACCCCAATCAGTCAATGGTATTTCACATCGATCTGACTCACATTATTTCGACAGTTATTCTCATTTTGGCATACACTATGAAATGCTAGCGGTAAATTTTTGATATATTTTTTAATTTTTTTGTTTCAATTTTTTTATCCGCACTATATTTTCAGGATACTATACGCACTAATAGTTATAGAGATGCGTTGCTAAAAAATAAATCTCTTATTGAAGGTAAAAATGTTCTGGATGTTGGCTGTGGTACTGCTATCTTATCAATATTCGCGTCTCAGGCAGGAGCTAACAAAGTAGTCGGAATCGATAACTCTGAAATTATATATCACGCTATAGGTATTATCAGGTACATTTGATAAAATTCAACAAAATTACAAAAAGCAAATAATTACCCTTATTTTCAGAAAAAATAACGTCGATAATGTTACATTAATTAAAGGGCGTTTGGAAGATACAGTATTGCCTCAGGAAAAATATGATATTATTGTTTCTGAATGGATGGGTTATTTTCTATTATTCGAGGGCATGCTAGACACAATAATATATGCTAGAGATAACCATTTAGCTTCACAAGGAAAACTGCTGCCAAATCGTTGTACCATGAGCGTTGTTGGCTATGGCGACGATGAGTTATTTAACCGCCACGTCTCCTTTTGGGATAACGTTTTCGGCGTAGACATGTCTGTTATGCGTAAAGAAGTTATGCAAGAACCTCTTATCGAACTAGTTGACGCTGAAAATATTTTAACGGAACCCAATTGCATAGCAGATTTTAATCTTTTAACTGTGGGCTTAAATTACCCAAATTTTACCCACGTTTTTGAATTATTATGTATAAAATGTGGTACCTTATCTGCCTTAGTGGGTTATTTTGACACTTATTTCGAGTTACCCGAGCCCGTTATATTTACGACATCACCGTATGGAAAGCCTACACATTGGAAACAGGTTGTTTTTTTCCTTGGAAAACCCGTTCGAGTATCGTCTGGGGAAATAATTAAGGGCCGCATCTTATGTAAGCGCAGTGTAAAAAATAGTCGTTCTTTAGAGATTGTGATAGAAATAGCTGGACAAAAATATTTTTATTATTTAGATTAAAAACAAATTTTTTATTCAAAATAATCAAACAAATTTACTTAAAATGTTGTGTAATTTTTTTATTTTTGCTCAGTTGTTAATGAAAATGATAATTGTATGTTTAAACTGCACCGCCTTCCAATTCGGTTACTGGTATATCCGGCTCTTCATCATTATATACGTTTTCAGCCATTTGCCAAACCTGCATAATGTTATCTTCAGAAACAGAACATATAATCCAAGGCTCATTTGGATTCCATGAGAAATCGGATATCTTAGCTGTATGACCGCCATGTATGAACAGCAATTCTGGCGGACCATCCTCAGCGTCTTCTGCACTTTGTTCTTCCCCAATTTTCGATAAATCCCACACATGTAAGCGGCGATCGGTACCAGATGAAGCTAAAATTGTCTCGTTATGGGGTGACCATTGCACTTGGAAAATTTCATCTTTGTGTGACTCAAAAGAATGTAGTTTGAGCTTAAGGTTACGTAAATCCCATAAAGCCACAGTTTTATCCGCCGATCCAGTAGCCAATATGAACTCCGAGTAAGGGTTGAAACTAAGGCAATTGACTTCCGCTGTATGAGCATCCACAGTATGCGAAGGTTTTGAAGTGTTATTATTACGCGTATCCCATATCATCAGCTTTTGATCATCGGCTACTGAGCCAAACAAGGATTCATGCAGCAAGTGCCAGGCTACGTCCTCAACCACAGCCGTATGACCAGTGAAAATATTTTTAGCGTCGATAACACGATGTTCTTTAGGTGTGGCGTTAATGTCCCACAAACATATGGTATGATCGTCTGAAGCAGACAACAGATAACCATTCAAATTGGGATTCCATGATAAGCCGTAACCTTCTTTTTGATGACCACGTAAACGTAAGTCAGGTTGACATTCCCCTGATGGTTCTGGCTTGCTAGGATGCTTTGTGTAATCGAAGACCAGCACATCGCTTGACGGTGTTTTTGTGGCTATTACACAGGCGTTTTGAGGCATATAGCGGGCACGATTGACTTCGCCTTCATGGTTGATTTTTATTTCAATTTCAATTTTACCGCTCACCGAACCGAAACCGCCAAATTCTCCCTTTTCATTGTCATAGTGCGATCCATCGAATTGAGCATCTTCACTGGGCAACTGCACACTGGCAATTAATAAATGATTTTGCTCGTCCGATGTGTGAGTACCCAAAATTAATCGATGCACTGAATAATCTTTACCTTCTTGCTTAGTGACGTCGGGCAACCATTGAGCCGTCAGCGAAGGCCATTCCAGGGCATGAGTCATTACTAAATCATAAAGGAATGGCGTATTTTTTTTCCATATTTTGTACTCCTCGTTGATGACACGCTCTTCAACGGCGTCATCAAAAGATTCCGCTGGTTGAAAAAAATGTAGAGTGGCACATTTGCTAAACTTTGGAAGCTTTTTCAAATCTAACTCACCATTGTCACTACGATCTACCATTGTTCAAATATCAGTCAGATATTAAGTTGCAAACTTTGCTCCCGCCAAAACAATGTGCGAATTTTTTTAAGCTGGCTTACCACTACTTAAGACAATGACGCCAACCGCATTAGTGAGCGTACGTAAATTAATTAAATAATGAAGGTTTTCACTTTTGATAAATGCTACACTTATTCATTAATATAAACATTTAAAGTTGTTGTATCTAATACAGTACTTAATTTGCTTCTCAATTATTGTATATTTCTTAAAAATATTTACCGGATAATAGCACAGCAAACACACATTGCCTTAAAAAGAAGAGATTTTTTATATATTGATTCAGAATTGACTAATAAAGTAGCGAAAAAATATAGACAAATTAAGCAAACCTGGTTTCTTTTTTAGTTTACCTCATTTAAAATTTTTATTCTTAGATTTCTGGCAACTCCAACGATTGCAATCTGTAAACTTCGACAACAAACTATTGTTGTAGCTATTTGCAATAGGCAATCTTCATTGGCATTTAAAAGTAACTTTACAGCTGGCAGTGAACAATAATAATTGAATTAATCCATGCCATAGATTTTATTTTTCGTTTCTCTTTCAAAATTCTCTCAAGGGTATTTATTGCTCCTTACGCGGAAAGAGAACATTCAACTTTGATGAGTTGCGTAATGACAGCTTGTGTTGTTTTATTGCGGAAAACCGTCTATGTACAAAATTTGTTAAGCTTTAATTTTCACGAAATTTACAGCTGTCATAGAAAGGAGATGATAGAGGATTATAAAGTTTTCTTTGTTGATATAGAAGTCCGTTCGTTATTGTAAAATTTAGTTTTGGTCTACTAACATAGACGCCTTTTTTAAAAGTGCGTCTTTTGTTGTTGTAAGAAGTAGTCTTCGATTAAATAAATTAAGTTTCTATAGTCCAAAATCATTCCTTTTAAACATAGCATAGTATACATGAGATGGATATTAGAACATTATTATTTATGCATAAATTGATTAGTTGATTTAACTCTTTAAGAGTAAAATCTAACTGATTAATTGCTTTTCATATGATTTTATTTTTTGGACATTCTTAATAATGTCCGCTTATATTTCACAACAAAACAAACAACATATTATTATTCGAGAGTCTAGTTACATCCATAGAGAAGGCCATCATTCTCCTCGTGAGGATCAAAGAATTTGTCAATAGAATATGAACGACTATACATTTTTTATAAATGGGCGCTTTTATGTTTAGAAAGGAATATATTCATGATTTTATGGGTTTTTTTGGGCGCGTAAGAGTTTGCAAATATTTCTGAAATGCGTAGTCCAAGCATTCTTAGACATTTCGTTTACTCATGCAGAATAAATTAATATAGATACTTCTTAAACGGCTTAAATTCTAAACAATTTAAAAATATGTTCTGCAAAATTTATTTAGTACTTTGTTGTGATCAAAAATATCATTAACTGAATTTCCTTATGAAGCAGACGTTACATAATTGTCAATTAATTGGAATACAGCTTTTACAAGACATAAAAAGAAGGTAATTTTGTAAAACAATCCGATTACAATTAAGCAGCAAAATATATGACTTGTTGATTGTACTTTTTTTCTGTTATTAGGATGGAAATTATCTGTAGTCAGAGCATATGTTGCCGCCATACTTTTGACGATTGCTTAAAATCTACTTTTTTGTTTTACATGTATATAAATGAATATATTTTTATGAATGAATGATCAACGATCTACATATTTTAATTAAGTTTAAATTTTCATGTCATTGACATAAGCATCCAATTCCGCATCCAGTTCTTCAGCAGTGGGAGCAATTTTTTTTCCACGATTGCCCACATTACCTCTGTTGCGGTTAGGAGCACCTCCTCGACGGTTGCCAAGAGCTTCGAAATAAAAAAAAATGTTAATTAGTTAAGTAAGAAGAAAGGAGAAAGAAAAAATACATATAGATGGAAGTACAGTTTCAACTTCCACAATTTCCCTAATGACGCGTAAACCTTACAAAAGCGTACATAATCTAGAGCAAAGTGATCTCAACTTCCCGCCTTTCGGCTTCGCAATGTTATCAAAAAACATAAATACTATTTTCCTACAAAAAAAAAGAAAATTGGAAGTCGAGCAATGATTAAATTCTCATTAAGCAAACTTTTAAAGACAATGAAAGTTGACACTGAATTAAAAAATTATATGAGAATGGATTTTGAATGGCTAGATATGGGCATCAGCGCAATGGAAAAAAAACGGCGGGGTATGGCGGTTGAATGCGAGCAATATTTTCTATAAATTTTATGTTGTTTGAGGAAGGTAATTAACCTTGACAAAAATTGCTAATGAGCAATTGGAATTGGGAAATTTTTTCTGACTAGCATTTCGTCAACTGTCAAATGCAGGCAACATGGCCGGAGCAAATGGTATTCTAGTTTCTTCTAAAGACAAAGGGGGTGTTACTAGAGTAGAACAATAACAAGTCTCTAATTATTTCATAAATTTTCGCAAAAACGCGGAGCGGAGGAGTTGGTTTTATCGAGAGAGCGTATCGATTCCAAAACCATGCTGAAACGATAATACAATATTTGCTGACCATCCTCAATTCGCAGAACGATTTAGATAGCCAGCGCTTTTTGTCAAACGGCCAACTCTCAGGTAGTTATATATATATATTTGTATATATATATTTATATATTATATATATTTGTATATGGATGTATATATGTTAACAAAACAGCTTATCTTAAAGAAACAAATACGTCCGATGAAACGTTGAATTTCAAGAAATGTGGAACGAGAAATCTAGCTGAAGACAAAACTTGTACAAAACCAACCCTTATGATTCCTATTTTTTTGTTGTTTTCGCTAAAAATTTCCAATGAATTTAGGTGGAAAAGGTTTACCTTCACGAACCGCGCAAAGGTACTTGTTGACATATGGGCGGAATTTTTCCAGTTTTGCTACTAGCCTGAGATACTCCTTTTTTTTAAACGCGTAAAAGCAGAGATGTTAAACTTTGCGCAATCCAATAAAAACGGATACAAAGCTATGTTAAAAAGGATACGAAACTACTTTAAGAACGGAAGCAAACCTGTGTTAAAACGAATATTTAATAAAAACGCAGCCAAAAGCTAAAAACGACATGACGACTTTGAGAGAAAGTTCTAAGATCGCACGATAAATATAGATCTCTCAGAAATGTATGTATTTTATAGAGAATTCTATAGGTTTTGGTTGTTCTGCAAAAATTTTCGTAAAAAATATAAAAACTCTATTTACATGCTCGTTTAACTGCACCCCCTATTTGCGGTCGGCGTCTATTAGCAGCTCCACGTAATCTGTTTACACCCGCTGCTACTTCAGGGCTGGCTAAAAACTGTATATTCATTGGTCTTCCATCCAAAGGTACTCCATTATATTGTTTAATAGCTTTTAAGGCATCCGACCGTCGTTCAAATACTACATCAGCAGTTCCTACAATGACATGATATTAATGACGCATTAATGTATAAAATAAATTCGAAATTATTTTCTTCTCACCTAAAGAACGTCCTGAACGATCGTAATGTACAGCCGCCTTCTTCAGAGGACCGAATTCAGTGAAAAGTTCCTTAATATCGGAGTCCGAAACACCGTAATCCAAATTCGACACCAATAGTTTGGCCGATTCCGCTGATTTCAGTATGCCGCGTTTAGGGCCGTCGTACATGTCATGTTTCCAGGCGCTGTTAACATCACCCTAAGTAGGAGAAGTAGTAGGTAGTACAAGTTGGGGAGGAAGATCGTTTGATTTCTTTTGATTAGGAAGGAGTATCGCAAATTTTAATGCGCTTTTGGAAAATAACTCGTAGAAAGGACAACGTTGCTACTTGCAGCTGATCTAAATCGTGTAAATCAATTACAAAATCACAAAATTTCTAGACACTGAAACGTAGTTAACCATTGAATGGAAATCATTTTTTTCTGTTTAAAAGAAAGCATACGAAATACATGTATATTAAGGGACTCCACTAAACGTTAATTATACTTGAAATGTCTTTTTGTTTTTTTTACTGCTTGTGATTTACTGGTAGATGGTCGTTCAAAGCCCGTTTAATTGTATTGTGTTAGTATTGCATAAAAATATGAGAAAATATAAAATTGAGTAGAAAACAATAACAACGTAATAATTGATAATGCTTTTTTATAATCTTGTTCAGCAGACAAGTATTGCCATAAGGAAGTTTTGGATGATTTCGCCATCTTTAGTTGGTTCTTTTTCGCAGTTTCACTTTTTCGTATAACTTCTGTTATCATTCATTTGATGACTCTATTATCTCTTTTGTTTTTCCCCTTTATGTGGCCATTTTTTATTCCACAATGCACATGTCCCGTTTTTGTGATAGATAGAAAAAAACATGATGCACTATGTATTCAGCCGTGATTATTAGGTTAACTGTTTTCAGTGAAATGATCTCTACACTGCAGCCACAATTCTTTCCAATTTCTGTTATAATTGATGGAAACAATACATTTTTCTTAAATCCAGTTAGCGAACGTAGCCAAGATATATTGCCACTATTTCATTTAAACTCTACGAGAGATGAATTTCATCATCAATTATTACCCTTGAGAATTTGGCCTTGTGTATCCCTCCAGCTCCCCCACGACCCTTTATTATGCCACCACCGGGCTTTCGAGAAGTCCCCTGATTTCTTCGTCCTCCTCTACGTTGGGTGCCTGCACTATTACGCCTATTGCCAGCAACTCCACCACGGCCACCACTTTTCCGGATTTGACGGTTCGATTTAATAATTTCGTCTAAGCTCATCTCAATTTTATCCACCATTTTCTCGTCCTTCTTTCGATGTTAGATATTTATTTTAATTATTTTAAGCGGTTATTACGCGCTATTAAATAAATTGTCTCGATTAAACGCAAATCCTTTCTGCTTTAAAGCTAGAAACGAGTCTCTTACAAGTAACACGAATGACGAACAATAATTAAAAATGGAGAATATACGAAAACTTTATGTTACGAGATATACAGAAATGAAGAATATACATATGAAGCTTGTAGTTGCCACACTTTCTATAAATGCACTATTAAACATATTAAATTCATCATATGTATTTAATGCATTAAAAAGGAGATTGAACGTGTTCCTCTGGCATCATGTATAAAGGTTCTTTACAAATATGGAACCAGAATCGATTTAGCGATTTTTTGAATTGTTGTAATTATGATTTCAAAAATTTGCTTACATATAAGATCGAATTATATCTTTCCAGTTATATCGCATTATGTTCAAGAACACTGGGCACTGGTCCATAATCAACACCTAACGAATATTCACGAATTTGAGCTTTTGGTCAGTAAAAATTGTTCTTGTGACAAGTTAGTGGTATTTCGTTATTCCACAAGTTACTTAAATCTTTAAATCTCTTATTTTTACATTTGCATGGATGCAGATGTAAAAAATGCTTTTAGTAGAAAAAGGAAATCTAACTGTTTTGACTGAAATCGGTACATTTATGTTGTAATGTTTGAAATCAATACAAGTGAATAAGTGCGTTTGAAAGTTCTAGCAAACACGGGAAGTATTTCATCAATCATATAGCTAGCTAATGTACCGCGATAAATAAATTCTAAGAATAAACTCTTAAAAGCTTTAGCATCTAAAGGCTATCGGCTTTTATTAAAAACTCTACCGCACTTGAGGTTCGAACCCACGACCATTGCTACTCAGGCAGATTCAGAGAATGTAGTAATACTACTATGTAGAAAGAAACATTATCGCGTTCGTAATAAGCTCTTTTAGTAAACAGAACTAATTTGCATATTTAGCCTTCCATATAGATAGAGAGGTCAAGAATTTTGAAATGTAAACACTGGCACGTGCATGGAAAATGTAAACAAAAATTAGAATTTGCAAATACAAGCGCGTACGTTCCAAGGTTTGGCAAAAAACACACGTACGCTATCAGAATTTCAAATAACAAACACATACGTATCAGAATCAGAAGGCAACCACAAATTTCAATTGTATCAGAATTTGCAACACAACCGCTTACATGAACTGGAAGGAAAATTCAAATCCAGCCAACTTCATATCAAATAATATGAGCAAAAGCTAACAGTTCGATAATGTTTGTAAATGGGAAACGAATAGACATATAGGCAATTATAAATTTTTCCTACAAAACTTCAACATATATATTTTGTAAATTTAAGTTAAAAAATTGTTATAAAAGAAAGCAAATTTTCCCACAATGTTTATTGTAGCTATTACGGGTGGAATTGCGTCTGGAAAGAGTACAGTTAGTAGAGTTTTTCAAAGAAATGGCATTCCAGTTGTAGATGCGGATGAAATAGCTCGAGAAAGTGAGTCTTTTTGCGTTTTAGTTAAGTAATTATTCAATATCATTGAGGTCATGACCAGTTTGCATTTTGAAAAATGTTTTTATTATAGTTGTAATGCCTGGAAAACGTTGTTGGCATAAAATACGTAAAGAATTCGGTGATGCAGTATTACTACCTACACGAGAGATTAATCGAGCAGCTTTGGGGCGAACTGTATTTGAAAATAAAGAATTAAGAGGACGACTTAATATGATAACACATCCGGTAATACATCGCACGATATTTTTCCATGTTATTAAACATCTGTTGAGTGGAAAACAGTGGATTGTGCTGGATTTGCCGTTATTGTTTGAGACTGGCATTTTAATGGATTTAATCTATAAAATAGTATGCGTAACCTGGTAAGATATATTTTAGTCCTCTATAGGGTTTACAACTCAAATATTTATATGGTCTAGAAATAGACCATGAGAACACTGATTACATTATTAAAGTCGCCAAGGTAACTACGAAATTTCGTACTGCCTTTTTTATCTGGAGTGATTTGATTGCTTAATGCCAATTCAATACCTTTTCAGTGATCCTGAAACTCAACTACAACGTTTAATAGCACGTAATGAACTGTCAGAAGAAGATGCTCATTTGCGAGTTAATTCACAAATGCCTTTGGAGAAAAAATGCGAAAAATCACACTTTGTTATAGATAATTCAGGATCCGTAGAGGATACCGAGGAAGCAGCTTTAAAGATTTGCAACATGTTGACGGAGAGCAAGCAACATTGGCGTAACCGCCTTACATTTTTAGGTTTCGTGTTTGCCATATTGTTTTTTATTTATTATTTGAACAAAATCTTCAGTTTTTTGCCAGAGATTAACATCGTTGCTAGATGGAAATAAGTAAAATATTTTTATACATATATATTTTGCGTGCAATTTAAAGCATTTATTACAGTAATTGTATAAATAAAATTAAACTATTGTTGCCAGTCTAGTAAGAAAATATAAAGGAAAATAGCGGATCTTTATAAGTTTTATTCTGTCGACTTATTCATTTCTTCGCGTTGCTTTTGCAACATTTTCTCTTCCAGCTTATGTAGGCGTTTATTCATTGTTTCCAAGGATGACATTACCTTCTCTTGTATTTCACCGTAATGTTTCATGGCTAAGATTAAGCTTTCTTCAATCGTTTCACTTTGTCGAGCTATTTCCTCATTTTCCATATTTATATGTAGCAAGTCGTCCATACCCTCCTCCGCGGGTATGTTACGAAAGTATTCTGCTCCCAATGTTGGTTCAAGGTCTCTTATTTGTTCCAATTCAGCAAATTGTAAATGCAGATCATGGCTAATAGCATTTAAGTAGACTTCTTTAGCGCACACTTGTTGGCTTTCCTCCAGAAAATTTGGGTCCAAGTATTTCTCCAACTCGTCGGTACGATTCATAAGCCCTCTGATTTGTTCACGTCCAGAAATTGCTTCGTTCATAATATTATTTGCTGATATTAATGAATCCACTATATTTTCGGTAACTGTCACTGTGCTGTTCGAATCACTTGTATCTGTGGTGCAGGTTGCAATTGCAGTCGGCACAGGCCCCAAAATTCTAGACAGAGTGTCTATGCGTTTTTCTAAAATATCTAAAGCTTGCATATTTATATGTTTTCAGAAACTTTTATCTTTATTTTTGCAGCAAGGTTTGTGAAAATCCACAAATAAATTGAATAATTTGGACGAAATGGTTTATATTGAACTAAAAATATGTTGTACTCTCAGCTGTTTTGTATGCATTCGTCATCATTAATATAAAAAAAAATAAATAGGGTTCCGTAAGCAAGTAATCATAAGCGCATAACATCCTCATAAACCAAAAATTATCTTCTATGCAAAAAAACAAACAGATTCGTAAGGCAATAACAGTCTCGTAAGAAAAAAATGAGCTCATGAGCATAAAAGTGATCTCATAAGCGAGAAAACGTGCTCGTTCGTTGCACTCTTTCAAACGTTGCAAAGCAAAATCGCATGCAATTCTATGTTTTTAAGCGACTATGCGTTATATAGCAAAGCAAAGCAAAGCGAAATCGCATGCAATTCTGTGTTTTCAAGTTTGTTCGGCCTCATTTTCAAAGGAGTGTAGCCAAAACTTAATTATATTTTGAAATAGAATAAGAACAATGAGAAAAAGTTTAATGATCCATTTTTAGGAACCCTCAAATGTTAGTTATGGAAGTACTTTTTGATTTTGAAATCTTTGCTTGACTTTTAACAGAGCTCTCTTAGATTACTTTGCATTTTCCCGACGGAGATTTGCATTTTTAATTTTGCAGTGCCGACGGCAATTTGCAATGGATTTAAACATTTTATGAGAAACTTATAGCTGGCGGCTTTGCATTTTAACAGAGTTGAATGTGTTAGTTGGGCACTCAACCATTTTTAGCAGTTTTTTATTTATTATAAGCGACTCTGTGCTTTGACTTTCAACAGGGAATTTAGCGAGAGCGTTGTTTAAAAATTATGACGGTTTAATTCCAAGCTAACTTGTAAAATAAAATAAAGAAATTTTATAATCGCGAATTTTATCAGCTTTGTAGAATCGAAAGGCAGTTTACGTTACAATTTAATATTTTGTTTACTAGCTTGTATCTAAAGGAATACCAAATTTTGTCGTGGATTTTATTTTGTCGAAAATATTGAAAGTGCTTAGAGAAGTGGTTTACCTGAATGCTCGTGTTGCTTCTTTTACTTACTTAGGCGAAGTGACTGACTGACTGAAGTGACTGCATAGACTTGAACGGGTGACTGGAGTTGTTCTTTGCATTTGCCAGAATCGAATCCCTTTTGTCGGTAAAGCTGGGCCTTCAACATTGGCGTTAACATTTTTGTTAAGTTGGGTATTTAACCATTTATTTATTAAAAGCGACTCTATGCTTTCAACAGGGAATTTAACCATTTATTTGTGGCGCCTACCAAGGGTGGAAAACCGTGCTTATATGCTTAATGTATCTTTCTCCGTTATAAAATTAATTTAATTAATTTACGCGAACTTATTTCTTGAGCAGTTAAAAGTTGCGCATTAAAAATCGATCCATTATGGTCCACAACAGGATTGGGAATTTCTTTTATTTTGATGTGTTGCTTGCAGTTTTTTGATTTAACCGCAACATTTGGTTGAAGAGAGGTTTAATTACTAAAATTAACAGATTTCCTAGTGCTTTTGGAGCTGGTAGCTTCATTTCCATTGTTATTCAGGTCTTTTAAGTCAATCTTTCTAATGTCTTCCTTTAACTCTTTTTCGTCATCCGAATCAACAATTATAATATCTTTGTCAACCTTATACGCCGGAATTTTTTCGGCCCAAAGCATCGGCATCGTAAACGTTTACGATCCCCTCTTTTTGATTTCGATTTTATAATTGTTTCGCTTGTTGCTGTTGACTTTATTTCTTCAAAGCAACATTTCTTAGGACAACTTTTGAAATAGTCGATAACAGCCTTTGATTAGATGACTGATCTTTTAAAACGCTCAGATTTTGGCACTTACTAGGCGTTTTTGGGTTTCTCGAAACAGCTTTTCTTATCGTTTTTGCCGGCGCTTTTCCGTTAACTTGATTTTCTGTTATTTCGACTGCTAATGCTAATGGCGCCTGAAGTTCAGTTAAGTTTCTGACTTTAAGTTTATTTAGTTGACTCATTGTTGATCTATTAAAGTTATTGATAACAGAAATAAAATAAACCAAACACAATGTAGAAAAAAAATTATCAATAGCACACAAGATTTACCTTAGTCTTAAAACTAGAGTTGCCACGCTTATTTGAATAAAAACCGATGAATGCCTTAGGGTAAATCTCTATTTCATAAATATGCGCCACTTATTTTATTATTAAATGCAGAGAGGTACTCGCTTATCTGAAAGTTGACTTTCGTTCGCGACTAAACCGATAATTGATAAACGTTTTCGTCGTGATCGCGTAAAACGTTTGCGTCAGTTTTGTCGTTGCAAAATCAAATGCCACGCCTATAAAAATTGTATAAAACTATTCAGGAGACGTACAAGGGGAGATAAATGCTTATTTTTTATACATTTATATATACAAGATTATATATTATATTTCAAGCACTTGTACGAATATATGGTAAGAATTAACAGAAAATTTTTTTTTTTTAGGATTCTAATTTTTCAGGAGTACCGACATCTGTTTAGGAACTTATTGATAAAGGTTATATACGCTGGCGAAATATCAATGAATTTATAGATAAATCAAAATCGGTCGTAGAGTTTTACCGTGCCTATTGCGACCTAGAGCTTCAACACAAATTTATGTGTTGATATGGTGGTTGTTTTTGTTTTTGGTTTACCTAAAAATAATGACAAAATAAATATCATAAAAATTATTATTAATATCATTGCTTACATATATTATGCGTAATAATACTTGTGTATTATTACTGAGGTGCGCGAGGTGCCCTCATTCGTGCAACTCAAGCGGTGCCGCAAATCATAGCTGTTAAGAGGTGGGCGCACTGGTGAACGCGACTCGCGCCGTCATTCGCAGGTTGGCGCCGCCCAGACGTGACAACCACGCCGCCACTCGTTGCGCATTTTTTCTGAAATAATTCCTATTAAAATAAAAACAAATAAATAATATAAATTATTATAAAAAAAAAAATTTGCAACTTACTCTTACTTCATACATCTGATTTACTTGTGATCCAAACACACCGGCGATTGTGGGCGAGTTTCACTCTCCTGAAGAGGTGGACTTTGTAGACAAATCAATGATTTACGATGGGTACGATGAGATACACTTATGATCAAAGATGTTAATACTAACCTGACTGTTCGATGGGTTGTCCCCTTTCTTGGGTGCTTTCAAATCGTGTTGTAAGCTGTTAAGAGGGCTTCCAGAAACCAATGTTGCTAATTTAATTTCCAAATGCACAGTCGTTTGATGCACTTCAGTTGATTTCTCAGAATCCACAGTAAATTGATTGGCCTCCTGTTGGGGATATCATTCGTCGCCACAGATGATTGAGGCTTTTTCATTTCCGCAGGTGTTGGCGGCGGCGGAGGTGGCGTTGTCATCCTAACATCTTTATCTTTAGTTAAGTTCATGCCGAGTTACGACGTCTTGTTGTGGCTAGAATTGATTAGCTAACCGGTGGAGGAATGAAAACACGGGAGTCTTTCATTTTTGTTAAAAGCTGTAATTTATCTCATTTCTATTTTCTACGTTGATGGGCTCGAAATAGAAAAAAATTCTTGGCAATTTCGGAAGGCTTCAGTTCGATCAAAATTTATAATCAATTTGGTCGTGTCCCGGTTTATTATCCATTTATAAATAACAATTTGGTCGTGTCCAGATTTATTATAAATTTATTCGATTTTCATAATCCAGCTGCGGATTTCTTCGTTCATTTTCAGCAGCAATATGCAACCATACATCTAAGAAAATAAATTATTTCAAATCATTTTTGGTAATCCTCTTTGGAATTGTCACCCATCGTAAGAGATAGTCATGGCTGCCTCATCGTTCGATCACTTTCAATCATCAAGTGAACGACATATTTTTGTTGATCTATTATCATATTTTTGTTCGGACTGAAATCTTAAGAAGATTGTTTGATAAAAAGTCATAACGTTGCTGGACATATAGTTTTTTCATTTAAAGGCCTGGCCCATTTTTCTTTTGTATACCAAACAAAAGAAAAGAGATTAAGATAATTTATTTTACATCTTAAAATTACTTTTCTAAGTTAGGTTTAGTTTGTATGAAAAGAAAGCAACAAATGCTATAAAACCAGTGCAGAGTGTTAATGACGCAGCCGATGCAGAGAAGAATAGTCCATTGTCTCAATAGCAGTCATTCGACAGGGTAAGTTGAGGCAATTAATGTTGACTGTGGTAATGTTCGTTCGTGCTTCTATTCTGTCCTTATCCTGGCCCTTAGCGTTTTCCTTTTAGAAGCGTGCCGGTACGTATATGCAAGCATGCAGAAAATCTTGCCTAACCGTCCAACAGTCCGAAAGGAAACGGCTTTCTGTCCTTCCCATTCTGGGGTCATAAGGGCCAAAGTCGCAGGACTTGTTGTGGTTCTGCATGTAGTTATACGTATAACTTCATTGAATAAAGGAAGGCCAAAGTCGGCGTGAGTTTCAGCTAGAAGAATTGTTGTATGTTGTACGACAGAAAATCGAGCAAAGTTCGGTTGAAGTGGAAGTACATCAAAGCGCAAGATGGAGGTGCATCGAGCGCCTACTTTTTCATGAGACAAGGGACCCGCAATCTGTATAATGATGCAAGAAGCCGATAAGCTAGTGCTATTGAAATAAAGATGATCTTTTATGAATGATGTTATAAAACCGATAGGTTGGAATAACGAAATACGTCATCGATGTCATAAACAATGCTGTTTAAAAGAAAAACATCAGTTGCTGAATGGATCATATTGATCTTTAACAATGTTATAAAGCCGATCCATTAAAAACTGTTGCTGTTGCTATCATTCTAGCTTTGTGTTTATCTTTGTGTCTACTTTTGAGTCTACTTTTGTGTCTACTTTTGAGTCTACCTTTGATTTGTAAACAATTTCATATGCTTTCTTTTGAATTCTCGACCTTTGTGCCTTCTTATGTAAGGCACTAACTATATATGCGTTAACTAGGTTTCATTTTCGACTTTTGGCCTTTTTAACTATTACTCAGAATTGTTAAAACCAGCATATGCATATTGCAATGTTCAATATTTACAAATGGATCAAACTCAAAAAATTCAAGTGGTCGATTTACGAAG